AACAAACCACGGGTTCACAAATGTTTGAATGTTCCTACAAGAGGATTAAAAGTGTGAGTGAGAGAGACCTACACACCTTTCCTTCAGGATGAACAAAGCTCCCAGCTGGACGAGAACAGTGGAGGCAAAAACTGCCAAAACCTCCAGTCTTTCAAACCTGCAGACAAGACGAACACACACACACACAGTCAGATATATATACACACGACACACCAACACACTCATCAAAATCCAAAAACGCTGATGTTTTGGACTCATGCGGTCAGTTCCTGGCGGCTTTGAGCACCTATAAGCAATATTCCCACTGCAGCGGCTTCGGCGGCCGAGGGAGATCTGCTCAGCATCTACAGGGTTGGATGCTTGATTCAGATTCTGGGTCTAAAGGTTTCCCTGAAACACGATTTCTATTTTCATGGGCCTCTGTCAAAAACAAAAAAGTAAAAAACGGTAGATTAAGAGCAAAAAAAGGACAATTACGGAGTAAAAATAGTCAAATATAGAATAAAACAGAATGGAGTTTATTGCTTCCAGACTCAAACATGAAGCTGAGGTCTGTCGTCTCCGAGCCTCGGCACACGTCCCTGCTTTGGCTTCACACTTTAATGCTCATGCACAGGAACACAGCCTGACATAACCTCTCCACAGGGAGACAAAGGAAGCTGGTGTTAGAGAGTGCAGCGGCTCTCTAACACCAGCTTTACTGAAGCATATTCAAATATAGTCACTCAAATATACATTAGATCCAACTCACTACAATAACCTGAACCAGGATGTGCCACAGCTGCAGATGCATGTCAAATCAAAACGAAGCAAGCGTCGGCCTCAGGGCGAAGAGATGAAGCTGCGACTCAAAGTACCACAGCTGCAGTTCCTCTAGTGTCCACCAGAGGCTCCATCAGTGAGTCCGTCTCCATTAGGGCTGGGTATCGATTTTGATTTCTGTGATCAATTCGATTTAATTCAATTTGGACTCAAACGGTCAGAAATATTACAATTCTGATCATTTATCAGCACATCGCCATACTTTATATATGTATAAAAACAAGGCTGACGCTGCGAGACTTCATCAGAGGAGTGAGCATCACAGCAGACGCCTTTGTGTCAAAGTCACTGAGGATAAAACAGAAAAACATGAAGCACATGTTCCTGTTCTGGCTTTTTCTAACAGAGAACCTTAAAAATTTTCTGCAGTCGATCAAAAACTGAAGAAAACCACGAATCAACATCTTTATGTTACCTGATGCTGCTGAAGTGAAGCAGAGCAAAGTTACAGAGGTTTGATTACAGACACAGCGAAAAGTTTTGTAATTTGGCATCACTTTAAAAAGTTTACAGAAATGAGGCTTTACTGTCATTTTTGGAGGAAAAAAAAAAACAGCGGCCGACAGCACTGAACACAACTGTAGACTCGTGCGTAACAAGCAAGAGAATAATGCAGAAAACTGAGATGTTTGATGGTAAACTGGAGTACGCTGAGAGAGAGCGCTGTGAGGAAGTGTGATTTTATCGTGGTGGAAGCAAAAGTAAAAGAATTCATGACGATGTTTATCGAACGTGTAGTTCGGATCTTCTTTTGCTGCTGGTTCAGTGAACTTTGGCTGGAGTGATGAAACCTGCAGCCTCAGAATCTGTGAGACGTCGGCTTTCAGCCCCAGAGGCGTGTCCGTACCATCGAGTGACCGTGTACCTGCTCTCATTTACTGTTTCACCGGTTTGGCAGGTGCTGAAATAGTTTTGTGACCTTTAACCTGAGATTCTGGCGTTTCTGGCAAAATATATTTACAGTTAAAAATCGATTCAGGATTTAATGAATGAATATCGTTTTATTCAAACTAAAATCATTTTGAATCGGAAAAAATGATTTTTTAAACCCACCCCGAGTCCCCTCAGACTCCCAGGTTAAAGTTTACAGCAGAAATAAACATGTTTACAACCTGATGCACTAATGTAAATTTAAGGAGGACTTGTTCGGTTTGAGTCTGCAGTCTCAGAGGAGGAAGCTCATGTAAAACATACTGACGGCTGCATTACGTGTGAGGAACCAAAGCTAAGTAAACCCTTATGTCACCAATAACAACCATGAATACACCTGAGTTTACTCCACCCTCTCACATCCACCCTGTTTATCGGATTCACACGTTCTTTCCTTTCACAGGAAGTACAGTTTCTCTCAGAAGACACTTTGATTTCCAGGTGCCTGTTTAGCCCCTCCCTCTCGCAGTCAT